CAGACAATCACATGCAAGAATGAAGTAATTGGAAAGAATACTCAAAGTTACGGAAAGTGAAGCAAGATTACGGTTTCTTGGCGTTCACAATGATTACTTATTCAAAATCTAAAAGAAATGTGTATCGAACATAAAATAATCTTACCAAAAGTTTTTTATTTGTAAGCTATTCGATACCGTTTCAAATTATTTTAATGTCCAAAATAATAAAAAAATAAATTATTAATTAAATCTAGTGTTGTCTCAAGCAGAAGCAAAATTAAGTTATTTCTACCATAAAAAAACAATAATTGTGTTGATCTCAATTTGTCAAAATTTCTACTCAATAAGAGTTAGAAGCATGTGCATGAGACATCCTTGAACGACGATGTGTCTATTTTCATAAACAAAACTAACTGTAATAAAGTCATTAGAAATATAAATGCAAATATTGACAACATGGTTAATGGACGCAATTAATGAATAATAAATTCAGATCGAGTTTTGACCATGCTAGAACATGCAGAGGTGCAATCGGCTGTATTGGAACAGATCGTCATCTACTGAGAGCAAAACGCATTATGGCGTAGCTATCAAGAGTAGAGCCTGACCGAAAACAATAATTGCTCATGTGAAATGCATCTCATAAGACCATGTGAGATCTGTCATTTTTTATGAAATCTTGCAATAAGATCTTACTACATGGTCATACAAGGCCTTGCCACAAGATCGTGTAAGATCCTACGGAATCTTATAACCTCTTGTCATACGATCATACAAGATCTGTGACAAGAAATTATTTGATCTTGCAAGATCTTGTCAGCGAAAGTGTTGACTCATATTTAGTTCTTATCACAAGATCATATATGATCTTGCATGAGGTGATGACCCATTTCTTTTATTATCACATAAATTTTGCAATGGCATCTGGTATATATACAACATCATTTCTATGACGAAACCTATACTTTTTCTTTAACTTCACACATGAGCTGAGGACAAAGAAAGTGCATGGCTATAAAGCACGTTAGTAAATAAAGCATGTAGTCTGACATGAGTCCTGAAAATACAAGAAATTATCAAAAACAGGGTGTAAAGGCAATCTGTAGGACAGGATAGGCACATAATCTTGTAACTTGTATAATCATACAAGATCTTACGAAATCATGTTGCAAGAAAAAGCTTGTGAAATTGTATAAGAGTCTTGAACCACGGTTCTTGTGAAATCGTGTAATATGATCTTATAAGATTATATTTCAGAACTGCTGAAACTTCTCTATCGTAATACAAAGGCAAAAGTAGGAGTAAATGTTGACACATCAGATAGATTTTCGATAAAGACCGACTTAGGACAAGGCCATTTATGGCAATATTATTTAATATCGACTTGGATTTTGTTATGCGAATAGTCACTACAGAAGCTACAGGAGTTAGTGTGAAATCCGTATATCGAATAGAGACTTTTGTGCATTTTTTAAGTGATATGTCAGACGATATGGAACTCTTGGATTTAGTCTACGCTGACGATATTGTTGTGATCTGTCACGGCTAGCATGATTTGAAAAGTTCATAAAACATTTGAAAATGTTACCCAACAGCATGGATAATCATGAACATGAGAAAATTCTCTATAATGCCATTAAAACAGCTGGAAACAACAACTAGTGGCAAGATGATGAAAAATTGAGAGGTGCCAGAAGTGAAATTTAGCATTATTAAACGGACCGAAACTATTGAAAAAGTGAATAACATTTCCTACTTGGGCTGCAACATCGTCTTCCAACACCGACTAAAATTAAGATTTTTATCGTATTATTTATCCTGTTATAAGTATTATTCTACGGAAGTGAGAAGTGGACCATTTCGATTGATGAAGGAAGACGACTACATTCATTTTACATGAGATGTTTGCGGTTGATAATTGGAGTTAACCTTAGTGACAGACTGCCAAATGAATTGGTGCTGAAACTAACGGGCAACCTTCAATGAAAGGTCTGGTACGAAGAAATAGGCCCAGATGGTTTGAAGACGTTAATCGAATGAAAAGTCAGCAAGAAGAGCCAATGCTGCCTTTGAAATTTATGTTCTTCTTCTATAAAGATCTCAAGTGTGTTCGTAAAAGGTGGCCTGGTCAAATTGATGATTTTAAAACGTTTGAAAAACTGGAGGAGAGAAGTTTTAGATAAAAATCAGTGGCGAGAAAAGATTAATAAGGACACTAAGACCAAATCAGTCCATCCAAACATCGAATTAATAGAATCAAAAAATACGAAGGTAAAGCTGCTCAAAGACGGACGGCTCAGACAGTAACAGCACCTATTGCTCAAAGCCGTGTTACGATTACTTTGTCAAATATTTTTGCTGCTAAATCACAACAAATCACTTCTAGTCTAACAACAACTCAATCACTAATAACCGGTATAAAAGTGTCAGATTTATTAGTAAAAAATAATCGAGGGAAATATGTTTACCATAACTCACCGTGTAGTAAATCAGAAAAGAACAGTGGACAACGACCGAATGAAATTTTAACATGAAAAAGCCTGAATTATATCCAGTAATAAAATGATGAGTATCAGTGAAACCGCGCCTGCATATGGCTCAGAGTTTAACGCTACATCCTGGAATTTAATTCATACGATGATCGTACTACTACAAGGACAGATTGAACATTTTATTGTTCGTGATATATTTTTTTTATTTTTCACTCATATATCAAGTTTGGTAGCAGGGATGTGTTTTCTTCTTCTAATGAATGCAACTAAATATCATGATTAGAGACGTACAGTTTCAACACGAAGCTGGAAAAAATTAAAATATAAATCTTTTTGAGGAGGATGCCTGTATTTGATGTTGTGTGTAGCTTTCTGACATAAAGTCAGAATGAAGCCAGTAGTGTGACAGGTTGTGCGCAAAACCTGACAAAAGTTACGAACTCGTATCTCTTATAGAGTCGGTGCAGTATCGCGCTGTGTATGCTAAATAAGTGCGTTGCGTATAAAAGATGCTTGTTCTTGGTGAGGACCGAAGTGGAACCGAGTGACAGAAGCACAACGCGCTGCATACTACAAGCTATGCTGTAGAGTCATTCCACTCAATTATTCTGTGGAACTACTTTACAGAGAATTTAGTTAAAACAAACACAGACAGCAACAGACTCGTCAACCAAATTTTGCCTCGGGAATGATCATTGCAGTCTAAGTACTTTTCAAACACGTTATTTTTACACGCACTAAAGTGCAAGTAAAAAGGTGTTTTCTGTGAAATACACGATAATACCGGCTATTACGGGACCAAAGTCTATTTAATAGCAAATCACTGCTTAGGGAGAGTCTATTCTGACTGATTGAGATATATAGTTGAGAAAACGTTTTCTTCTTAAGCAGTATTATTTTTTTCGTTGACTACTTAGGAAAACCGCGGTACTACTTGGGATTTTCAGAAACCAGTATACATATTAAAAACAGGACCTGGACGACACTGCTGAAAGTGAGTGAGCATAAATGAATATTAGATGGATGAAATGTATCTTCTTTAAATACAGGTATAGTAACGACCTAAACAAAATTCTCTCAAAGGCAAATAGGCGCGGTGTAAAATAAATTGCGAATAGCATGAATCAGATTTAACATGTTAAATCCCTAATTCATGCTCTCATTTGAAGTGAGCGAAGTATAAAAGATGATGATTACCATGTCTTTCACTTTACTGAGCATGTAGCTTCAATATAAAGTCAAAATTTAAACAAAATTCAAATCTTTTTGGAGATGCTGAGGTCGGCATTTTCAGTCTGATCTATCCAACAGATCTCAAATCGAAATCGCCAACAAGTAACAATACTTTTCAAAAAAGTGAAACAAATATCAACACTTAGTCCAAGGCTCATTCCTGAATCGTTTTTTCTTTTTCTTTACAGGCTGGAATTGGAGTTGTGTGTACAAAATGTCTATATGCAAATTACTGGGTCTAAAAACACGTGACTACGTTTTAAATGATCATTATTTTGGACAAATTATTCAAGAAAATAAGCGTTCTACTTCTGCCTTTTTTCCAACGCGTTTTCTTCTAGCGATATATGTTCAAAGCCATTGATTTATCTTATTGTCGTCATTTAATTGGTCGTATCGTATCAAGAGATATCCAGATTATTTTGATCTATCCTTCACAGTTCAATTTTGAATGCTAACATTTGATTTGGATTCAATTGCTGTAAAAATGCATTTATTACATTGTGATTCATGGCATTCTAAACATTCTCATCATTACTGGAAAATACACTTGCGAGAATATGCCATTACTATTACACATAAACATTGACAACATCCAAGTATATGACCGTAAAATCCATGAGTTGTCATTATGTGGAAAGCAAATGGGTTTAGTTGAATATAACAGATACATATTTTCTCTTTTATAGTTAACAATTAGACGAAAACATACAAAAAGACGCACATCTATCAAATAGTGCATTTATATTTAACACACTACGCTAGTCTGAACAATATTTTTTGCCTAAGTAAAACCAAAAAAACTAAGAACGTTGATATAATACACAAAATAATAAAAATACGAAACACAAATGAACACTCACACTTTCAATAAAAGTGACGTAAGAGAAAAAATGAAAAAACATTCATCACAGATGATAATACGCAGACCTGATTGACAAAACAATGGTCATCAACTGAGTGAGGATAGAAATAACGTAGAGCCATTGGATCTTGTACTCTAGCAAAGCCTGATGCATTTGTTAGCCTTTTCCTGATTATCTTCTATTGTGTATTTACAGTAAGCAACCTAGTGTAATTTAAAGACTATCTAAGTATCACATAAATATCAGACAGGATCTGTTGCATAAAACAACATTTATTAATGGTGGGTAAAAATCGCGAATCTCAAAGAGAAACTGTTCATTTTGGACGGTAGGTAATTCTTGTCTTAAGCAAAAAATCGTTGTCATTTTATTACATTATCCTAGCAGAAGAAAGAATATAACGAAAAAGAGAAATACATAAATTGTTCTATAAACGACATAAACAAAATATAATAGGAATAACACATGCAATAGCAATGAATAATGGTATTAGTGAACTCGATTGATCTTCCGAGTATGGATCGGCCACTTTTGGTCCTGATGTTTTTAAATGACGTTTTTGTTTTGTTGCTATAGAGGGTGGTTCTTCATTTTCATCCTGATCTAATGTATCATCTAAAGCTTCGGGTTGTGGTAGTGGCGGCAGTTTTGGTATTTGTCCAACGTTTCCTTTCCAGATTATAAGAGCATTACATTTGGGATTATCTCGATCCAGCTGATATGAAAAAAAACATACGAATATTTTATTTCACTCATGATCATTTTTTTTGTGTCTCTTACCCGTTGGAACTCGACTTTTAATTTTCCATTATAACTCGTACTTTTTCCTTTGACAACAAGCCGTCCGTTTTTAATTTGGAATGGAACCTGAAATGATTGATAGCTTATTAATCAAATTAATGATAAGTGTTATTTACTCTTACGTATTCATCGTGTGCTGTGGCTCTTCCAGCTTTTGTGAAAATATCTAAATCTTCAATGACTGTATGCTCATCGTTCAGTATAACTTCAAATACCTACCAAGCAGAACGTACTTCATTCATCAGTTCAAAAGCTTGATAATAATATACAAACCTTCATATTGGGAGAATTAAACCAAACTTCGGCAAATTTTAGCCACAATACGTAATCTCCATCATCAGTTACTTCTATCTCATATGCAAAAGATTTTAGATCATACCGTTCTGTTTGATAAATAATTTGATCTTCTTTTGCTACACGCTGAATGGGAATATTTCGGCCATAGTCTGATGTTATACCAGCTTTGAGATTATCTTTACGATACTTGATTCCTGAAAAAAAAACAGAAAAAGAATAACAAATGAAAAATACGATCGCAAAATCGCTTACCATGTTCATCTGTATGAGCATCACCACCACAATTGACAGCATAAACAATATTGTCCGAAATACCCGCTGAGTAACAATGATTAGTGGAAAGAAACCAAAGTACCACGGTGAGAAAGAATTTAAGCATCATCCAAAGACAAAAGAGAAAGAGATAAAATGTTTGTTTTTCTTAACAAGCTTAAAAAAAGAACTGATCTTGTGTCAATATCACAGTCAGAGTTGAAACCGGACCAGCCGGTTGAACCGATTACCAGCCCGGTCCAGTTGAATCAGTTCAGAAATTTTTATCGTATTATTCAGATGGTGATAAAAATCCATTGTCTTTTTGGCGTAAACAACAACAACAAACTTCATCAGTCATAGCTAAACTTGCTAAATCCGTCTTTGTAATTCAAGCATCGTCTGCAAAATCTGAACAAAATGTTTCAATAGCTGGACAAATTGTAACAGAACAAAGATCTCAACTAGATTCCTAATGCACCGAATCATTAGTTGTACTTAAAGACGCTTATTTGAATAAAAGTTGGCCTAAATCGAAATGATAATTTTTGTTTGTAACTATAGTTAGTTTTTCTTTATTTCTTTTTATTGTTAGCGACGTGTCCAAGTGACGGACTGGTGTTTTTTTATGGTTTAGTTCTAAGGTCGATTAGTGGCGAAAAACTTAGTTTTCTAAGTATAGGGTAAGTGATAAAACCAAAAAATTAAAAATATAAAAACAAATAAACCCGACTCACGGATCCTTCCCAAGCCAGCAAAACACAACCGTTAAAGTTTAGTATATTCTAGATTTTAACGGTTGCGGCCGAGAGTCTCCACTCGTTTTTATAAACACACACATTGCTAACAGTTAAAAAAAACGATTTTTCACTGACCAGTTTTTTACCAGTTCAAAAACTTTTTTAACAAAACAATCCCGTTGAAAAACTTGCGATCTTACTTGAAAGACTTAATGTTCTCATTATTGTATGAGATAAAGGAAAAGGCGAAGAACGTTTTAATCAAACACATAAAAAATCAAGGAAAAGATAGCGAAATTTATCATAATAAGTGCAGATGATTTAAAAATCGTCTTTTAATAGATGGATTATTTCTCTTGTTTTATGAGTATTTGGGAGTCGAGTACGGTTTTGTTTTGGTCAGAAAGATAATAATACTAGCCATTCATCCCAATCTTGCTAAGCGAGCGGAAATCTTCAAAGACCGAGTCACTAACACGATATTCTTTTCTTTCTTCTCTTCAATGAAGAGAAGAAAGCACGATTCTGACGCTGAATCGAGATAACTTAGCACAACTTCTTCGGTCGAGATACGTCAAGAGCAAAGCTCCACAATCAACACAAATTTGTGATTATTTACAATGATTGTAGCAACGTATCCTGAAGTTTACTTTTAATGTATATTAAGCCTTTCTTTTTGGTCAAGTACGCTTGAAGTAGAATGGCGTTAGAAGTGAACCTGAAAAATTCTATCGGCCTTTATCATTCTCTTTGTTGTTCTTTTCTTTTCACTAGAACAGAAATGCAAAACAAAAAAAATCCAATCACAATTGAAGGATAAGCTAGAAGTAAGCTTACGCATAACTGTTACATCTAACCTATCCTGACCTTCCAACATTACTTCTTCATCTTTACGTTTAAGTTCCACAGAACTTGATCCACCAACAGTCCATTTTATACATAATTTTCGAGAAGTATTAAAAGGATAGTAGAGTTAAAAAAAGGAAAAATTTTTGTTTAAACTCGCATTAATTCCTTCCATGTAATCTTTTCTTAAACGGAAAAAGTTTAAAAATAAATAAACAGAGGCCGCACTTGGGCAGTATCACTGGGGATTGCAAGGGAGTTTTGTCCACTTCTAATTAGTCAGATTGACATTTTATCAGCAAAGTTAATTTAGCACCATTTTTAGGATTAAAATAAAATACAATGGCAATGAACATCTAGTCTCAGATAGAAGATAAAGACTCATTTCATTCCAGATTATCATGAACTGTTTTTGAAACCAACGAGTGTGATGTTGATTTATCTTTAAAAACATAAAGCACAGTGGCAGATCCAGACTAGTCGATATTTTTCGTTCTTTCTATATGAATGCATGTGTTGTACAACATGCGGTTAGCTGTATATAATCTGGATAGAACGAAAACAGCACATACTCTGGATCCGCCACTATTATAAAGTAATGTTATCGATCGAAGCATCAGAATTGTTACAAACAATGTATAAACTACAAAAATCCTGCGCTAATTGTAGCACTTTGCTACTGACATACCTTAGCCTAAACTGATGTTGTAAGTTGAGATACCTTATTAAAAGTAAAAATTAGTGGCTGCAACTTAATGTTTGGAGCGTGACGGTCACACTTTTAGCATGGCATTGTTACACATTTACCGTAACATTTCGGGACAGTGTTTGATTTCTAACTTTGCTTTATAGTACATATTACCGGTATTTTGGGACGTACCGATGTATAGCTCATGCAAGTGGAACACATTCATCTAGTCGCCGGCGATGAAAAATACGTTTACAAAAATGACTTTATTCGAATTGCTGAATGCAAAAGAAGTGAGCGTAGCAGCTGTTAGTAGTCTTGAAAAATGAGTTATATTCTTTCAATAATATCTTCAAGCCCGAGGTGTCAGAATGCTCTAATCGCGTGGAGAATACATATTGAATGAGATCAGTGTATAAATCCAGTTACTAGCGACAGAACTCAAAATAGCGGAAGCGCACAGATATTTATCTTTTTATACATCTGGGATCTGAGACTTTTTCAGAGTCCAGATTTACTTTTTTGAGATATAACTGCTATTTTCTATCCTTTAACAGCCGCTACATTGCCTAATTTGATACATTCCGATAAAGTAACGACACACAATACAATACGTCGACGACCTGATGACATTTATCATGCACTTATGCACTTTTGAACAATTCAGCATCCCATTCCTATGGATTAAGATCCGTAAAGCGTGTTTAGAACCACTATAAAGATGATATTTTCTTTTTGCAGCAAATTTTTCTCATCGTACATCATACCAGTTGTGTGGCTGTTGCTATGTTTTCTAAAGAATTATGGTTGGATTTAAACGGAAATGGAGTTGAGGCGCATGAATTGAAATTATCTAGAAAATCAAAGAAAAGAAAAGAAAAGTAAACTTTATTATTCGTTATACAACTGATTTTTTTCAAATATGACGCAAGTATTTAATCGTCGAGGTAAAGTCCCCTATATTTGAAATAAATTTGGTCTACACTCATACTATATTAACGAAGTATTTTAACAGTCTGATATATTATTTGTGTTTTCTATTTATTAAGTATAGCTGACAATTTGTTGCCATCAAATATGCCTACTCGTGCAAAAGAGATTTTATCCGGATTTAAACTGTATCCTTTTTATTATTTCTAAAGCTATTTACTGTGTTGTATTAGTAAGTCTTCTTCCGTCGTTATAACTCTGTTAGACAAGAATCCGAGTGACGGTTAGTCTTTGAATGAAGACTTCTTCACATATTATTGTGTAATTGGCAAATTTTTGAATTAATTTTTTCTTTAACATAAAGTAGTCACTGGATGAATTTACGCGATGCTGACTCTGGTAAAGTTCTTTGGCAATCGTCGGATGATTTGTAAGTTATAAGTCTCATTTTTAATATATTTTTAATTAGTAAATGCTTCGACATTTAGATCGGCACCTGATACTGAGCATGAAGGTTTGTTTATTTTTTCATGAGCGTTGTACGATTATAATTTTTTCGATATTTAATGTATAGCTCGTGTACCAAAACGCATACTGAAATGCCGTGCAGTATCAAGAGAAATTAATTTCTCATCTCAGGAGGAAATGAAACAATTTCGACTAGAACAAAAAGTTTACTTTCGAGGACAAATTATCGAGGGTAATAAAGACAAAGAAACATTTTGAAAGTATTTACGATTCGCATTGGTTTGCTTCTTGTTTAGAATGGTCATTTGAATTTGGATTTGTTATTCCCGGATCCACAAATACATGGCAATCACTTATTGAAGCAGCGCCAGAATCTCAAATGATTCCGGCAAATTTATTAAAGTAAGTTAATGGCATAACATAGCGTCAGTAAGTAACATTATTTTAATTTCTGTTTATTTTAGTGGCAACGTCGTTATCGAAACAAAGTTCTTCGATGGTGAACTTGAGGTGAGCACGTCACGTGTTCGTCTTTTATATGTATAAAAACGTTTCATTATTTTATTTTATTCTAATCACGAGCCAATTTAGGGTTTTAATATTATTCGATAGCACATTTCATCCTTATTTTACGCGTAGTTCTCTCTTCCATTCAATTATTTTTATGTTGCTATTGTGGCTGTTTCCTGAGTATACCTTTATAAAGCTTTTATGTCATCCGTAGATATTGCGATGGGCCAACTGATTTTTTGGTATTGATTTTGTTAAGAAAGTTTATCTCCGTTTGTTCACACTGCTCATTCATTGTTCTCTTTTTCCTATCATCTTTGTATATTATTTGTGCATTGTGCAAAAGAGCATTTTTTTGTGAATATATATTTATACAAGGTGGAAAAAACTCAAGACCTACTGAGAATAATTTATCAAACTCGGTGTTTTTTTATAAAAGAAAAAAAACGTAGTGGAATTTTTTTCTCCTTAGGTAGTGTTTTTTTGCTTGTTTTGTTTCGAAATTGTGTTCGGGTGTGAAAGAAGTATTTGCCTATACTACGTATTTACGATCATTTCATTTTTCATTTCTATATTGTAATTATCATTTATTTATTTTGAAATAAATATTGTTCGTAAGTATTCTGTAACCTCACATTGAACTAAAAATAGAACCATTTTATCAGATAAATATCTCTTAACATTTTATGTTGTTAGAAAAATAATCTTATGAAAGCAATTGGCATCAATTCATATGAGCATTAAAATGGAAGAAGACATATGAAGCCAAAAGCAAATATTATTAGAAATTCAAAATTCGAACTGTTTTAATTTATCTAGTATCATTAGCAGTTTCTTATTCGAAATGTTTGAGCTACTTTAATATTATTTACGTATTAGATATTAGTTTTATGAATATTCAATATTAATTCACTTAATGAAAATGTACTCTATATATTTTTTTCTAAAATGCCTCTAATCGCATCTTTCAGGTAGAAGAAGCACTTCATTTTTCTTATCCAAAATTGAAGTAAAAAAGTTCTAACTCAACAGTTATTTCTTCATTTTATATGCGTATTTGCATAAAGTATAGATAATTTTACCTTCGTAATCGTATATATTCAAAAAGAAGAAAGAAAATATGCTTATGACTTTTCGAAGAATCAGTATATAAGGAAAATAATAATTGTATGAAAAACTTAGATTGATATAAGTACATCTATCTATCATATATATATAAAGAAGAATGTTTGTCTGTGTGTCTGTTTGTCTATTCTTTATGCATTTGGTCCCTGTAAGAGCTAGCGTCACCAACTTTTCTATGGCATACCCTTAGGTGCAGAAGCAGGTCGAGATGGGTTCGGCGCGATCGTGAGAGGGGGGGAGATTCTTCCCCCCCCCCCATTTTTTGAAAAATTGAAGACAATTTTCTAATTTTTCAAAAATTTTGGAGAATTTTCTTCAGTTTCTGGAATACTCTCCTTCTACCCATACCACTTCGCCCCGCCCTGGAGTGAAGGGTTGCTTTTCGATTCAAAACTTTTATCTTCGGAGTACTTAGTAATCCCGTTGTTGGAGCACTACAGTAAGTGTCCCATCCAAAAAGTCCGTGCGTACGATTGTCTCCTCAATAACTCGAGAACGAAAGGAGATAAAGACTTGAGATTTTCGTCATCGAATTGAAGAGATTCTAGGGTATGAAAGTATGCTTGAATTTGTTTGGTCTATTTGCTGACCAATCGTATTTGAGCATACTTTCATCGTCAGTAATATCCTTTTGGTCAAGTTTTCAACGGAGCAAAACGGTGACAACGTTTTACAAAGAAGCTTTTTTTAACTCGAAACTAATGTAGGAATGAGTCAAATAGAGATGGGCAAAATGATCCCAGGACCAAAAGTTTACTGTTGGGCCCGGAACCGAAATTGTTTTTGACCGCCGGAACCAAGACGGGACCGTGATCGAAATCTTTTTTTCTGACCGAAATTGGGACCCGGACCAAAATGTTTTTACCAGAGCCACAAACAACACTTTTTTTATTAGAAATGATAATTTTTACGATTGTGAAAGACTTCTGTGAATATCATATTGTCACAACCCATGTGTTATAAATCTTCTTCTAAGACACTGCAAAAATCATTGAGTCGAGATAGTAAAGTTGGTTCCGGGATCGGGAACGTGACCAAAACTTTTCTTTTGGGTGGAATCGGGATGGGACCAGGACGACACCGGTACGAGACCTAGACGGAACCGGAAAGAGATCGGATGGGACCGGGACGGGATCGGGAGGGGACCAGGACGAGACAGGGACAAGATCGGGATAGGACCAGGACCAGACCGGGACGAGACCAGGACGGAACGAGACCGGGACGGGCCGGAACCGAAAAAGGCTGGTCCTGCTCATGTCTCGATTCAAAGCGATCACCAAAGGGATTTATCAGAGTGATAATATTAAAATGCCAAAATAAAAAGAAGTTGAAAAGAGGAAAAGATCCGAACGCATTTTGTAACATTCAAGACCGGTAACTTATAGGAAACCATAAGACCATCGTTTTCCAATATGTCAAGTATGCAATATAGAATTTTCCCGGGCAACGCCGGGTACTTCAGCTAGTACATGATAATGAGCCAAATGACTGACAATATCTGCAAGATAGAACAGAAAATTCTGTGCAAGCTGGTATTATTCTCTAAATTCGAGGTTCACATTGAAACTTCGTTGTTTCATCCTATGCCATTGATGGTTCGAAATTGATGAGAAATCATTAGCAATGATGAATTTTAAGAAAGTTTTTAAATCACTCGACAATTGAGAATCTATCTGGTTAAAACCATCTTTATCCGACTGAAAACGGCTTGAATCTACTCAAAATAGCGCAAAAATTTTATGAACGGACCACAATCACTCCAAACAACCAGAGCATGCATCGATTTACTCCTCGATCTGCTTCTGGAATTTCTGCTTTGGAATTTCAACATTTCTGCAAACGAAATTTCTGCATTGGCATTTTAACAAAAGCAGGAATTCATTTGGAATTTCTGCTTTTTGCAGTAACTTTCCTGGAATCTCGACAGCTGTCGAAATTCCGAAAATATTCGGAATTTTGTCAATTAGTTCGCCATAAAATATTAGTATCATAGAAATTTCGACAAAACTTTGGGTTAGGTCGTTAATGACCTTTAATGATTGGTGTTTGTTGTATATATTGTTGTCGGAGGACGTAATGGAATTTCGACAAAGTTCTCTACTTTAATGAAGTGATGGAAAAACTGTAACTATAACGGGTGGACCAGATAAAACTGGTCACTTTTGTTCGCTGTTTTTCAGACACTTTAGAGTAGTCCAAAGAGTTATTTCTAGACTCAATCGATAGAGAATTGAATTCTCTACAAAACTTGTTATTTTAATCTCTGATAGCATTTTTATCCCATGAGCACCATTCAAAATATTGCAGGATGCTGAGTTCTCGAACTGCAACACACTGAAAATAGAAAAATATTTGCTTTGATCCAACAACAGACTCGATAAGGATTTTGAAAACATCAAAAGATTCACCGAAAAAAAACATCTCACATACTTTTCAAAATTTTACAGTTAAGTGTTCTGGGAAAGTTTCTCTGTGCGAAAAACTGATAAATCTAATAAAATCTAACTTTTCTTTTTTTAATTTGAAAAAGTTGAAAAGCCGGTTGAGAACTAATTACATTGTATGACGTTGTAAATGAATGGAATCAACAGAGCACAAAATTCTCTGTCTACGTAGAACAGTTAACTGTTGAACCTCAGACAATGGGCTAAAAATCTCAAAAAAGGAAACGACAAAAGCACGTCGCAGTTCGAGAACTTAGCATCTTGCAATGTTTTGAATAGTGCTCATGGGATAAAAATGCTATCAGAGATTAAAATAACAAGTTTTGTAGAGAATTCAATTCTCTATCGACTGAGTCTAGAAATAACTCTTTGGACTACTCTAAAGTGTCTGAAAAACAACGAACAAAAGTGGCCAGTTTTATCTGGCTCACCCGTTATTTATAAAGTTGTTGTGAAACAAGAGAAATAGTTTCTATGTTTATGTGTGTTCTGCTGTTCTGTTCTGTAGCCAAAAGTAAAAATTGTGAAAAATTCGAAATGAATTTTTAGTTATTGTACGACGGCGCTCTCTATAATAATAGTTTTTGTTAAATAAATATTGCTAAATTTACTCTGTATTAAACTAATTCCCAATTACATTAATTAAGCCGTGATATTACTTTTGACAGTGTTGGAATTTCGACGGCGTTGTGTTAAAATTCCAAAAATTTTACAAATTCCATTGGAATTTCTGCATTTGTCGAAATTTCCATGGAATTTCTAAATTCGCACAAATTCCGTTGCAATTTTCGATATGTCGAAATTCTAAAGCAGAAGTTTTTTTTAATATAAACTTTATTCAAAATAATAATACAAGTACGAACATAGCCGAGCTATTGCTCATTATAACATTCGTACTTGTCAACAAAATGTTGAATGATGAACTAAAGATTCCTGAAGAATGAGAACAGAAATAATCAACAAGTGGATGAACAGACGTAAAAAAGACAACAAAAGAAAAAGAGAAATAGAGAAAAGGCAAAGGTAAATGATAATAAGAGAGAGGGTAGGGGAACGGTGACGCAAATCTGAGGGAATTCAATTGTATAGGAATAAAAATAATTCATAGGTTTGGCAAGTGATGAATCATTTAAAGCGATTTGTGTCTTTGATGTATTTTGTAACAACACTAACAATCAACTTCATCGAGTCCAAATCCGCGCAATGGACCGAAGTCTGCTTGACGTCGCGTGAAGAAAACTTTCAGACGCCGCGGAACATCAGGATTCAGATAATAGTTTTTTTATTTGGATTTTTCAAAATCGAGGTATTAAATTTGGTTTTGAACATTGTCGTAGAAGTAGATGCGGAGATTTTCGTAGATAGGTTGTTCCATTCAAGTGACACACATGCAAAAACTGTTTGTCTGATTGCTGTCCCTTTCAAATGATCAACAACATAGAGCTGACGATTGTTATATCTATTATTCAACGGAGCAAGCTTAACATGTTCAGTTAGGTATGCACGTGCATGTCTTGTGATTATGCGTCGAAAAAGCGTGAGGCTCATTTTCAGAAAATGATCAGTGAGAGGAAGCCAATAAAGATCGTATAGAATTTTATATTGAGAAGAAGTGCGCATAGCTTCGGAAACTGTCAAGCAGGCTTGATACTGAACTTTCCTTAGTTTGTCAATGTTGTAGTCAGATGTCAAAGAATAGATCGTACAGCGATAGACTGTTGTTTTTAGCTGGTGTGATTTTATGAAAACTAAAGATTTGTATTTATTTACATTGAACTCAAGTAGATAGGTTAGCGGATCATTCGGACAAGCGGGCTACATCACGATTGAGGGAGTCAGCTGAAGCCTTCAAATCTTTCCCGCTGTTATACAAGCAAATATAATCGGCAAATAGTTTACGCAAATTTTCCAGGTTATCAGAAATATCGTTTATAAATATTAGGAAGAGCAAAGGCCCTAAGACTGAGCCTTGAGGCACGCCATAATTGACTGTTCTCTCACTCGACATTTTACCAGAAACCACGGTGACAATTCGCCTTCCTGCAGGATAAAACTCTAACCACTTTAAAACCGAACCCTCTATCCCATACTCCCAAGTTTCAAAAGCAAACCCCAATGCCATACGGTGTCAAACGCCTTTCGAATGTCCAGGAAAACACCATGTACAAAACCACATTCATCGAAACCCTCATTAATTTTATGGACGATTTCATGAAGTTGATTTATTGCTCCATCACCACAGCGAAAACCAGACTGGTTTCGACTCAACAAATTATTTCGCAGAAAATAATCATACAGTTTATGAATAACTACGCTTTCGCAAACTTTCGAAATCGCTGGAAGGAGGGTGATGGATCGATCATTCTCTTTCTCGTGAACATCTCCCGATTTGAATAATTTTTTTATATGACCTAATTTTCACATATCAGGATAGATTCCGATAGACAAGAATTGATTTAATAGTTTAGTTAGTACAGGTGTTAGTACTTCTGCTAGCTCTCGTAGTATTCTATTCCCAATTCCAGATGATCCTGCCTTGTTCACATCAATCACATCATCATTTAGATAAAACCTTACAAATATTAGACTCACAGATTTCACTACTGTTAAGTTTAGATGCTGCGCGAGACTGAAAAACGGGCAGTATTGTTCACATTTAGAGTCCGATCAATAGTACAAATAGAACATGCCAGATCACAGCCAGTAACTAAAGGACTTAAAACTTCACAAGAATCGATTGAATTCAAGAAAGTGATTACTAGGTCTAGGCATGTATTTGATACCAGTCTAGTAACCTGATCCACAAGCTGATGAAAAAATTTTTGAGTCACAAAATCATGAATTAAGTTACCTCCGATGGTCGACGGCTTTGACGGACACCAGGTAGAATAGTGTCCATTAAAGTCGCCGACCAAAATGAGGCCGAATAAATCTTTCCAACAACATCCGAAAGATAATCAAGGAAGCCAACCATAGAATGGTGTTGAGGTCTGTAACACAAGGCTAAAACATAATTGCTATTTTTTGAGACAAGAAAAATAGTTTCAAAAATAGTATGTACATATTCCGGGAGTCTTTTGTAACAAAATTGCTATTGACGTAAATAATACATTCACCTCCATGCGAGGTTCTGTCATTTCTATATAATGTTGAATAACCGTCAATTGTCAAGGTGTTATCCTCATCTAACGGTCCTAGCCATGTCTCAATTCCAGCAAAAGCGGAAATTCCAAAAGCAGATCGACGAGTTTATCCTTTCATCCTGTGATGCGTCTGACGAGGGAACATTCCCAAGTGAGGCACTCCGATTTTGTTCAAACCTGGCAATTTATATGTAATCAAGAGCGCTGATTACAAATATGATAGCCGTTGTGTTTATGTAATTAATTTTAAGGCTTCTCTTGTAAATTCTGTAACTTTGCAAAGAAAGGTCGTGGAGAGCTGGGAAGCGTCTCATTTTGATGCAGAATTTTCAGGCTACAATTCCAACATGTTGATAAAACATTGCTAGGGTTTCGGGGGATTTATAGAAAACCGGTTCTCCAGAGAAACGCTAGAACACTGAACAAAATCGGAGTGCCTCAGTGTGGAATATTCCCTCATGAGAAAAATTATCCAAATAAAACTCCAGCGAGTACATTTAATATTTTGAGAAATTCTTATTGAAAAAAAAATGGATTAGAGACGGAAAACCATAACTCAAAACTGCGCAGGTTTTCGCTGCGTAGGAAATGGCCACTCTTAGATTAATAAAAGATAAAGAGATGTGTAAAAACAAATAGAGATCGATTTGATGCACTACATCAGTTTAAGTTTATGTGAAAAGTCGAATATTTTCAGAAGGTACAGATGGGCAACGAGGGCTGTTTGTCTTAAACCTCTTGGGGGAAATGGAAGCTGCTGCAAGGTATTTTCTGTATCTGTACGGAAGTGAGAATCTCAATATACAAAGACGTGGTATAAAAAAAGATCATTTTGTTCTTTTATACTAGGAGTTCGTTTAAACGAGAACAGGTCACTCCCCCAATGAATTTTTTTGATATAAAAAATTTCCTTTTCATCTGTTAACCATTTTTTAACGCGTTTGATAGCATGGAGATATTAATGAGCTCCCATGCATAAATTTACTTCAAAAAATTTTCCAACGCGTCTACATGTGTTAAATTTTTTATACCAAAAGTGTTTTTAACACATTACTGAGATTTTTAAATCATTTTTAAACGACGAAAAATTTTTGATGCATTCAGACGCATTAAACTTTCATAAAAGTACGTAAAAGAATCCTATCTTTTGATATAAAAGCCACGGTGATCGACTAAAAGTCATAATGAGAAATTTCTCAAACATTAGAACTAATACATTAAATTTTCATCGTATACTGAAGTATTTCTTTTACATTTTATTCTTTTACATTTCTATTAGATCATTTTTTTAAATAAAGCTTTTCATGTATTCTGATAGTACTTTTAACTCTCTATCGAATGGTATATAGTTCATTAAAGAATATTCCACAGTCACTTTAAAATTGAAGAAATATAATTAGTATGCTGTTGGTACAAAAATCACCTTTCTAACCGTAGAGGTTCCTAGATAAGTTTATAGGAAAAGTAAGAGATAGGTATAGATAGATAGGTAGCTTAGATAGGTATAGCTTTTAATATTATATCTGGTTGTGTAGAAAGAATCGCCCTAGGCTAAAAGTTTTTGAGAGGAATCGTATGGCATTGTCAGAAAAAGATAAAATGTTTCCCTATACAATGGGGTACTATTTTTGTCTTTGAAAAGCATTAATGAATTCACATACACTAATCTCTAACAAGTGTGACCGCATCAGATTAATCTGAATACATGTAAATGCGTTAAATGAAGGGAAAACTATTTTTATGCATTCGAACACGTCAAAAATTTAAAGAAATTTCAATGCTTAGTTAATAAGGCATATGAACGTGGTGAATTCGTAAAAGTACATTAGAAAAATTAAAAAAATGAAGACTCCCAAATCCATTAACGTTTAGGATATGCAAAGACGTTAAAAATTTTTTTACCCATCCAATGACTTGGGATATATTTAAGGTACAAAATGTCGATTTCAAATGCGTTCAAAGGAAATTTTTTGTATTAAAACACTTTATTGGCTCGTTCTTTTCAAAAGAACTCTAACTGGTTATTATCAGTTATTTTTAGAAGAACGAAATCTCTTGTCATGTGAGTAAAGATGATCACTTCACGTAAGATGACCAACTAGTACATTTTACACGTCATCTTCATTTCCTTACTAATCTATATCCTTTTTTTAATACATTGACAGAATGTTGAATTCTCAACTGATGGATACTCTTAAGATCATGATGCGATACCACTCAAATAATAATATTAATCAGTCGTTGAGATTAGTCATTCAACTCTCTCGAATAACTGACGTTGTTTCATGAGTTATGTACGTTTATAAAATAATACCTCGGCAGTATTAAAAGAAGCATGACACACTACTCTGTTCATTTGACTTTCGAAAATTTTCCATCAGAAAGACGTACGTTTGAATGATCCATCATATATATCTACACATTCATTCTAAATGATGTAGAATTAGATGAGAAAATACTTAATCAATATCTATATAACTTATTTAATTTTATATTCAAATTTAAGGCGAGCAAACACATCGATCAAAACTGTTCAGTAACTGATGAAAAAATGTAAATCATTAAGCTTAAACATTTCTAGATAATTAATATATTCGTGAAGAAAATTATGTTTTCAAACTTGCCAAACTGTATACAAAACCGACATTTGTTTGTTTAATCAAACAGCGTCTCTTGTTTTCCTTTTCAATATATATGTTTTTGAATTATTAGTAGATTTTGTTGCACTTGTTAAAATCAGACGCATGAGAAGTCTATGTTCAAAATTTTTCTGATCGAAGATCTATATTAACATTAGTAAAATAGTTGATGATAATGTGCATGTGCTGTGTCAATCCCTAGTTCTTGATAATAAGATTATATATGACCTATTTTTTTTTGTTGTATACGATTAATACAGCGTTTATTCTTCTTTACCGGAAATAGAATGTGTGTTTGTTGTTGTTAATGTAAATCCATCACTATTGTATTTCTGGTTAATTAACTTTTTTTTTCTGAACTTATCAACCTTATTTCCTCATTTTCTGTCGTCATATTGTTTTGTTGTTTTTGACGATGGTAATGATGATTTAAATTAGTTTTTCTTTTATTTATTATTTTGTCTACAGTATGTTTTTTTTTCCTCCACCACCATATTTCACCAGGAAAAGCATATATACTTAGATAGGGCATAAAACAACATGGAACATATGTGAATATATTTGATAACTCAGAATTCACCGTAAGAAATATATGAGTCATATAGTATGAACTAAATATTGACAAAACGTAAGGCAATAATCCAATTAAATAAATTAATGAAAATAATATCATCTGTTTTGTTAGACGTCGTATACGACGCCACTTACGTGATAAACTAAGACGATGACGTTTGACAAATATTCGAATTAATAATAAAAATGTAGCAATAAATGTGATTAATAATGGTACCACTAAACTGAAGATAGTATCAATTAAAAATAAAAAGATATTTTCTTCGAAACATGGTTTACAAACACGTTTTGAATCATTCACAGTGTTTTTATTCTTGACTTCTTGAAAGCATGTGACACCTGAACAAATTATAAAGCAAAACTTGCTATTATCTGCTCCTTCTAATGAAATATATGTTTGTCCTACCTAATATAAGTATTGTATACCATGTCAATGGTATGGCTATACTGAATAATAGCGGTATTATTTTAAATCTTAAACGTTTTTGTGATTTTCTTAGATTTAGTGGTCCAAATATAAGAACGTGTCGTTGAATTGATGCCCAACATACGAGTAAACCAAGGCAAACAATTGAACTATAATCAACAATTAGCCATAATTGACAAAATATAATAGCAAATGGAAAATATTCTAAATAAAGTTCAGTTAGGAATATTGGAACACATGTCAGTGTCATGAACAAACTGACATGCAATATACATCGAAATACATAAATACTTAGCTTTGAATTCGAATGTAAACGAATTAATATGAATATATTTGTTATTAAACTCGGTACACTAACCAAAATACCGATGGAAAATAATATTCGATGTAGTACTAGATTAAATGACTGAGTAGGATGATGTTCAGTTTGATTAGAAGAAGAATTTTTAAAATTCATATTGCGCACGTTCAAATATAAGAAAATATTAATATTTGAATGAGGAATAATATAATTTTTTGTATATGGAATTCTTTTTTTTGTTCTCTTCTTTTTCCAGTAGTCTAGCAAAATTTGTAATGCTAGTTTAGTAATAAAAATCTAAATAGTACATAATTTTCAGCTATTCTATTTCTAGAATAGGATTTTCTCTCTTTTTTTTATTAGCTATATTCAAAAATAAAAGTGAAAAAGACATGAATTATGCAGTATAGATTAGTTTTACAACAATAAGAAAAATCAGCCAACGTTTTATCTTAAACTTTCATCTTTCTAATTATATAAAAGAGGTTTTTATATATAAGTTTCATGTAAAATAGTATTCGAACAATTGTCATAGCTAAACATTGAGAAAAATGACTTAATTGATACGTCTGTTAGATAAGGGGAAAAAGATTTATCAGTATATAATGTCTGTGACTGTTAGAAAAACGGCGACACAGGTAGTCTCATTACGAGACTAAATTTAATACTCTGCAGAGATCCGGTGATGGGATAAATGTGTAACATATTTTCTCATTTACCACAAAAGATTAAAAGATTAATAAAATTACGACAGTTTTCATTCGACGAACATATCACCTTGAGATTCAATTATTATCATATTTTTTGCCTATATAGGTGAGCTTTCCAATTTAATTACATGCTGTTTTTCTCGAATACATAATAATGCAATTATTCTTGTAAATTGATCAAAATGAAATTCACTTTAATATTGAAGTCAAAAATAAAGAATATGAATGTTTTTGAGGGGTCAATGCACAAATGGACAGTATAAGCGCAGAAAATGGGATGTAAATGCGGACATACATTAATTTACAAGATTTGCTTTTTTATGGACACACTGAAGTTCTGAAGAGGAATCAGGTCAATATTAAGGTTTTCACATTTAGAACATGATTTTAACAATCTTTTGAATTTCCTGTATCGCAACAAGAAAAAGCGACATAAGTGATTATCTGGATAGCTAAGTCTAATTTTCAGTTATATTTAGTATCTCCGTATATACGTTCGAGGTTAACGACCCATCACTTCAATTTATATGTTCAGGTATCCATTCATCAAGCTGAATTATAACCTGACCATCATATTATAAACCTTCTCTATCTTTTGTTAAACGTGAGAGGGAAAGAGAGAGAAGGAGAGAGGCAGAAGAAGAATGATAACATTATAAGTTGTAGGAGGCATAGCCAGTGGAGCGTGACAGTTTTCTCTCTTTCTTTTGTTACAATAACTATTGACTACTTATCATTGATGACGATGATATGAATACGTAGTGGAGAAAAGAACAAATATCAACAAGGTAATTTTTTTATTGTCTATATGAACAGTCGTCTACCTGGTCGGTATTGCTCCACCTTTAAATTGTCTCTTGTTCAAACAACCCTAGAGTGTTTTTGGCATGAGACAATGGTTTTAAGTCGTGTTCATATGTCCTTTTTTGATCGATGAATAGGTAACAAGTTGTTAAAACAATAATGATTGAAGTCGACATATCCTAAAAAGTGAAATAAACAATGGAATTTCAGAAATTGAATGATCTCGAACGATCATCGATAATTGTTCAATATATCAATACTGAACCAATCGAATTTTATCCAACAGTAGATGGTACCGATCTTGTTCAAGATGTTTTACGCCGACAATTATCAAAAAATGAAGAAAATATTTTTGGTGCCGACGGATCAATATCGCTTGAAGATGGTGAATTTTTGAAATTTTTACCTGCTGATACAAGACATCGTACACTTCATATACCCATTGAACAGTTGGCATATTGTGGTGCTTTAAGACGTATGAAACGAAGTGATGATGGTGATCATGATGGTATGAGTGATAATGTAGTTCGACGTGAATTTGAGAATGTTGACTTAGCTAATCGTTATCCACAACTAGTTATTGGTCCACCCGTATTCGTTGCCATATTTTTTGGATTTGATAATGCATTATGTTATACATTTTTAACTCAAAATACTGAAGATGCCCGTTTACTGGTAATGAAACTAATGAGAGCGTATAATACGTTAGAAGCGCGACCGCATGTTTCGCAAGGTCAACAACAAACCAACCTTGATCATCATCATCATCATCATCAATCTTCACCTCCAAATATTTCACCTTCACAGGGAGGATTATTCGGTGCTGTTCCCCAACAAAAAAATCAACAGCAACCATTTTTTTCATCGCCATCAATCAATACAAGTGGTGGGAGTAATTCACAACCAATAATGTTTCGTAGTGGTCAACAATATAATATGGATAATGACGCAATAATACAACGATTGTTACAAAATCCAAATGTACAAATGATGAATCCACCATTTACCTCGCATCTAATTGATGACATACCTGTATTATCGCCATCGTCAACAGCAGCAACCAACATGGTATGCAATATTCACTTTTTCTGCTTCTGGGGCAATTGAGATATAAGGTTATATTGCACCGTGCAGTATGCGCTCTGATTCAGATGAATCATTATTTGAAATTGAAGTATCGTTTTCAATTGAATAGACAAAAGCTTCTTGGTGGATCATAGATACTTTTATCAAATGAGAACCATAACTTATGTTTTTCCTATAAAATTAGATCTGTTACCCATCTTCTAATCAATTTATTGTAAGTATTAAACAAAAATGCTAACAGTCCGGCTACAGATGAATGAAAAAGATCTTTCTAATAATTGTGCTGTGTACTAATCTTGCGAGAGATGAATGAATAAAAATTCTCTTCTTTACCATAAGACTTATGGAGTACCAATGAAATATCATATGGTGACTATAGATATGAGGATGGTAAACGTAACGCATGTAATGAGATTAAGACACTGCTCATGTTTTGGCACTCATGCATGATAATTTTCACGATACGGCTTTTGAATTGTGTGCGCTTGTCATTTGTTGCAAGTAGGAATTATGACTATAAAATTAAAAAGTGAATTTATTTTATTTTAAGAAACTTTTGACATTGACTTAACAGTAGGAAAATTAGACGCTTTCAATCATATTGATGATAAAATTGAGCGGTACGCACCTTTACTCGATCTACAAAGCATCTTCTACTCTCAACAAACTTTTATTTTTGCGTATGCGTTAAAACGTGTTGTTGTCCATCTTAACTTTACAACGATAAATTTTATTATATATAAAGAAATTCGCTGACAACTGTACGAAGTATAATCGCGTATTAATGAGAGAATTTCACTACGTAAATAAAAAACAATAGTATGGGCAATTATGTCCATTTTGTCGTGTACAAGAGTTTTCTAAACAAAGTTTTTCAGATGAAATAAACCTTATTTTGATCTCTCATCCGTTCGTAATGACCAGTTTCTATCCAACCGATTTTTGCGACCATTCTTTTGGAATGATTTGATTGATCAGTAATTAGAGAGAAGCAAGTTTTTATCATGATAGTAATATATGTTCTGTGAGAATTTATCGCATGCTTTTAAAAACTTTGGAAATCTAGTATTTACGTTGTGCATACTTATAGACGCCTGGACTTACCGATCAACTATCATATCTGAATTTAAATCCTGGTAGCGGTTTTACAACGAGTGGTAGTGGTGTTCATTTGATCGATTCATCATCGGCAGTACCGAGTATCTGTTATCCCACACAAACAAATGAGTTTCCGCAAGATGTTTCCCTTTCGGGCACGCCACATATTATTTATAAACCAAATAATCAGGAAGTTGTCTATAAGCAAAATATCATGGTTCGTTGGCTTCAACCACCTACACCACCGCCACCAGCGCCAATAATTATTCGGGGTTATTAGTTTAATTCTTCATTATCAGTCTCGTCTCTGTGCTCAAATCTAAATATTTATTTGTTCCTTCTTACCTAGAAATACAACCAGTTCCTGAACAACAACCACCAATTATTTGCCGACAAGTACCACCAAGCCCTCCAACTCCACCACCAATTGTCGTTCGGTAAAGATCACATGTCACTTCTACTGTACACTAAACCACATAAGTTAATTCAATAATTTAGAGAAAGACCGCCAATGATGCCACCAATGAGTCAACCATTAGTTATTGAAAAACGTCTTCCTCCGATAAATGTGCCACGACAAGGTGACACAAATACTTTGATTTCTTATGGATATATAAGCTATTAACTGTACATATCTTTTATTCTCGTTGCTAGTAATAATTGAACGATTTCCACCTCCCCCTCCCAAACCACCAGCAATCATCTACGAAAAATATCTTCCTCAACAACCGCAACGACGGCCCGTTATCGTTCAACGTGAACGATGTGTTCAACAAGCTCCTAGACGTCGTGTTATTGTTCGCACAGCGCCACAATCTCAAACAGCTAATATTTGTGTTCCTCAAACGACGACGACAACAGCTGTTCAACAACAGCAACCAAATGTTAGTTATGTTCAACCTCAACCACAAGTCGTACAACAACTTGTACCCGTTTTTGCTACACAACAGGTAATTATCAGAAGTTATAAAAATCAACTTAATGATAAAGGAAGCATTTGAATCTTGTTTTTCAGCGTGTTATACAACCGAAAGGTGTTCGTGTTGTTCGACAAGTAATCGGTCCCGCTCAACAACAGCAATCCCAAATTATTAATTCACCACCTATAGTGCAGGCCTTTCCTGCAAATGCTGGTGGCTATATACCAACTGGAGTAGAAAACGCCATTAGTTATGCACAACCGGCATTAAATCAGATAGCTACCCCTCAACAATATATGGGACAACCTCAATTCACTTATGTGACATCTTAAATACATTATTCTTCAAGCGTTTTTATAAAAGAAGATAAAATTTACTTTTCTTTTACGATGCTTATTCAGATATAAGACGATATATTCTATTCTCAGGTACAGTTAGTTTTTTATCCTTTTTCGTTGTTAAACAAAACAGTTATTTTAACTGATGATTTTTAAAGATATTAGATATAGTTTTTTTATATTAAAATTTGACGTTTTTGTTTTTAATCTATGAGTTAAATCCGAGCTTCGCGCGGGATCGATGGTGCACCACCCCTGGCTCGAGGAAAGATCTGGACGGGTCGAACGAGGCATTTAAAGTGTCGAGCCGACCCGATACTCTGTGTTCATTCGGTATCTAAACCATATCTTTTTGTGTTTTTATTCATAACTTGTATATTAACAATTACTAGCTGATGATAGTCAGTCGGTGAGTGTTGAATGCTTACTATACGTATCGTTTCAACATAAGCTCCTTCTTATGTTTTGTTTTATTTCTCGAATATGTCGAAAACAAATTTGATCAACCAGGCCGGGTCGAACGGGCGAAAAAGTAAGATCCATCGGGTTTCTCACTATTGATTACAGAAATATCGTACGTAACAATAATATTCAGGCTAAAATTTTGTTGATTACAAAGGATGAGTGATTTCTTGAGATAAAATGAATACATTTCAACTTCAACCGTTCAGAATTAACTATGAAAGTACATGATTCTGGCATATATATATGTTGCTGTCAAAAATAATTTTTTAAATCCTTGACTTCTTTTCTGCACGTTTGATACAAAAAATATTTTTCTTTTCCAGTTGTTTTCCAAAGATGGGATAGCACTCATATTAGAATAATCGCATTTTGAACAATTGATAATTTAGTTGCTCTTACAACTATATATTTTGTTTTCTTATTGGTTTGGTTTATATGTGAATACAAAAAAAGAAATGATGAGAAGACATGATCTTGGTTGCTATTAACGAAGAGAAAGAATAAAATAATAAAATGGCATGTATGAATTTTGCATTTTACACTCTAAAAAGAAATGCGACTTCTAGGAAGACACATAAGTCGGACCCCCAAAAGCCGCATTTTAGTGTTTCCTTTGAAGACACATGATGCGACTTTATCTGGTAGTCACTTTATAGCGTCTTTACTCTGGTCGCATTAAAGACACGTAAGTCAGAGCAGGGAAAGCTCCAAATTTTTTAACTGCATAACGCAGTTTTAAAGTGAAAACTTCTCTCTTTTCTTAATTGTTTATAATGAGTACAAAAAGATTAGAAATAATTTTATTACAATCAAATAGTGAAGAATTTCATGCTTTACAAAAGCGTTTACTTGAAGGAAATTTATTTCAATGGCTAGTGGCTTTAATATATAAACTTCCAAGTCCATCGAAGTTTTTCTAGCACTAAAAAGAGTTTTGACTATTCTAGTATAAAATCCAAAGTTCAAACTAGATTGCAATTGTGCTGCGCGGTGGGGCTTCACTTGAGTGCGTCTCATTTGAGTGCGTTGCATTTTAGTGCGTGTTTTTTTAGTGCGTCTTATCTGAGTGCGTTTCCAATTTCTAAACATTTGAATTGTTTCCGTCATCATGTTTAAGATTAATTCTCAGTGGCTAGTAATCTTTTATAGTAAAAGAAGAAATGGCGTAGCTTACAATATTTTTGAACAGCATCATCCACATACTCTTGCTGCAACCGATATTTTGAAGACTATGTTATAAGGCCTGATTGATATCGAAAGGTTCTCTCTTATCCGCGCTTTGATCTTGTAAGAAATTTTTTCCTGAAAATTTCTCTTTTTTTAATTGTACACAATTTTTCATATTTATCCAGAATACAAAGTTTTTCGTAACGATGTTGGTAGCGGTGGTTCCTTCCTTTTTTATCTTGCATCTCGGCCGTGTGAATGTGGATTCCTTTAAAAAGACATGCATTTTATAGATATAAGCTCCCTTATCATTATAATAAGAGTTACTTACTCAAACCTGGTTCATATAATCTTTAAGAGTGTTAAGACAAACAGGATAACCATATTCCCGACGTTTCCATGAGATCGATTCTTTTTCAAAGTTCAATTCTATAACTATATCCTTCAAATTGAACTGCTTGCTCACCGGATAGAACGTGAAAAGGCGCGTCGAATGCATATATTATTTAGTGAGGTAATGAAGTACAAAACTGCTATAAACATGATTAACTAATCATAATTTATTTATTTCATTGATATTTCGACAGAATCCACTGTCATCATTAGAATGAAAAAAGTGAGTGTGTCAAAATTAAGACTATACGTAGTCAAATATATCATGAAAAATATAGAACAAAAAACGACACGTCCAGTCTATATATGAGTAGAGTTCTTAAAGAAGCCCTTCTTTTTATTTGTGAGAATATATTACGTGCCGCATAAACTGCACTCTTAGAGTGCTTTAAATAAGAAAACTTTCAGTTTATATTTCACATCGTTAATAGCTTTCCGTTTGCTTGCATTGTTAATAGGCTTTCTTTGATTGCTCTTCTTTTCCAAGTTGATTCTAGAGCTAGAGTTTCGACATTATTGAAATTCATAGAATGACTGTTAGTATTACAATGTTGTGCAATTTGTGAAGTTAGTTTATTTTCCTTAATATCATTTATATGTTCACTCATTCTAGTAGACTATTTCCGATTGGTTTCTCCGGTGTATTTCATTTCACAATTATTACAATATATACAATAGATTAATTTCTTATCCTTTCGAGATGGATCGACGCCTTTTTGAATTGGTAAGAATACATTTTTAAGAGTAGAATATTTCTTATAAGCTATATTCAGCGTAACATTTGGTAATAGTTTATTACAGAGCTTCCTTATTTTCTGGCCGAACTCGATAGATTCTGGTCCGTAATAAGCGAAACCCAAGAAAAGTTCTTTCTTTTTTGTTATTTGAGATTGTCGAGCCTGAGATGTGTTTATTTTTTTGAAAATTTCTTTAGCTTCACGAAGTCCTCGTCGTATGATGTGATAAGGATAACCATTCATTCTTAATGTTTGTATTAGATGTTTTCTTTCAATTTTTAGTAAAGATTCAGATGAACAGAGACGAAGTGAACGTACATAGAGTGATTTAATCAGACCTAATTTATATTTTCGAGCTTTGTTGCTGTCACATAGTAGAAAAAGATTTGTTGTAGTAGGTTTTCGATAGACACATGTTTCATATTTCTTATCATTTCGTATAATAAGAAGATCAAGAAATGGAAGACGGTTATTTTTCTCTTCTTCTACTGTGAATTTGATATTATCGTGCCACTTATTTATACGAAGTAGAAAAGTAGATATCCGTTGTTCCTTATTGAAAATACAAAGAACGTCGTCGACATATCTAATCCAGATTTTCGGCCTATTAGTAGAAAATCGATTCAGTTTTTGTTCTAATTTTGAGATGAATATATATAAATAAATGAATAAAAAGAAGCGCTTCTTTAAGAACTCTACTCATATACAGACTAGACGTGTCGTGTTTTTCGTTCTATATTTTTCATTATATATTTGACTATGTATAGTCTTAATTTTGACATACTCACTTACACTTTTTTCATTCTAATGATGACAGGGGATTCTGTCAAAATATCAATGAAATAAATAAATTATGATTAGTTAATCATGTTTATAGCAGTTTTGTACTTCATTACCTCACTATTTAAATCATCAACTGCTCTCTTTCCTAACTTTGTAACACTATTTTATCTTTGTTTTCCACTAAAGCAAGTTGCTTAACACATTATTTATGTTTGAGAAAACTTGTGTTGTTGTAATTTTTTGTTTTTTTTGTATAAATAGGTCGAGACCGAACAGTAGATAGATATAAATGAATTATTTTTTGTTCAGGATCCCGAATCCAGGATGATAAGAATTTTTATATGTTGAGTCATTCAAGAGTTATAGTGGTATCTCAAGATACAAAAGATGGATCTATTTGTATGGTATATTTTTCTCAGTTTTAATGGAAGCCACAAATATCAGGGATATTTTAAAGTAAATTGGACACTTACGGTTAAAGATTGGCCATGGTGATTGTCGAATTTCCTTTTCGTTCGTTTTGGTATGCAATTAAAGTAGAAGGTTAAAGAAAAATTGTAAATGACACTCATAAATATGTAATTTCCTTATTAACCAAAGCGAATCTCAAAACGCATATTAGGGCTTGTAAAAAAAAAATGTTAATAGTTAAAAGAAAGAAGAACCGATTTTTGTTGTTGTAGAGAATAGCCTTAAAAATTATTCATTTTATAGCATCACAGAAGCACTTCTTCCATCTTAAGAATCATATGTTATCGAGTTTAATGCTATTGTAGTTTTAAAGTTCTTAATTTTGATCGGAATCATAGTTTTATTCAATAACTCTCAATTACACTCTAAAATGTTCTTACTACACTATGAATTTGAGTCCGTGATTTTTTCATGTACTTTACTCTATAATTTCACAGCGTTGACTGACGGCTTCTACTCTGAAAAGTTCGTGATTATATGCTTCACGGACTTTGCCCAGTAATGTAACGAACTTTTGTAGGCCGCGTCCCTCTTCGTTCTTGCTTTTTCTTACGGATATCCGACAGAGTAGTCCGTTCCGAACTCCTGTTTTTTGAAAAAGTCCGGATGTTCGGAATGAAAAAAGATCGGATATTGGGAATGAAAGTCGTCTGGGTGTACGGAACGGCATGAGTCAAGGTTTTTTAGTGTTTTTGTATACAAAAATGTCTGGATGTTCGTAACAATCCCTCACGTTTTATTACGAACATCTATACTTTTCATTCCGAACATTCGGAAAAACGATTTTATGCTATATAGACCCGATTTCGAGCATCCTGTCACTTGGTCAGATGTCTGGAAGTCCAAGGACGAAAAAGGACAGGCCCCTTTGTATATGATTCAGAGAAAAGTGCATGAAAATATTACGAATTTTTCCTTGTCAAACTTATAATGAGATGGTTAAATTCGAATCAGAATAAAAACGGAGACATCGTTTATTCTACATTTCGAACGTTTCCAATTTGTTGGATACAAAGTTTCTGGAAAAGTTTGCATAAAATAATATGAAAATCTTTTTGTCAATGATAGTATGATTATCCATATTGCTATATTTGTGTTTTTAGGGCGTCTTACCTCAATAGACACATACAAGGTGGGACCTACTCGTGTTTGCCTGAAATTAGTTGATGAAATTAATCTTAACATTGTTTTAGACTGAAAAACTAAGAAAGCTCTTTAGAATATAATGTTATTTCTCTATAAAACGACAAGATACAAGGATTCCACTACGACCTCAAAATGTGTCATTGTATAGCATACCTATTTTTATATTCGATAAGTGCCGAGAATATAAAAATAAAATACGTATCGTTTATTATCTTCCGTATCATCGAAAAATGAAGCATAACAAAATATAGGTTTCTGATAATACACTATCAATACATTAGGTAAAATATAATTGGAAATTAATTTGTACTTTACAGACAGAACATTTTTTTTTCAAACATTCATTTTCACCGTTTTTATTATGTTCTTCAGGTAAAGAAAAAAACGTTTATTCTTCTACTTCAAAATAGCTCTGCCATCATAACAGCAAATTTTCCATGAATGATGTTACTACAGATCGATCACTTCTTTGCTTTTATATAAATATTGTATTCTCAGTTTAGTTAAGATAAAAAGAAAAAGAAGATAAGATTCTTTGAATTAATTTTTTATACGGATTATTGTTTAGTACTGTAAAGGTTTAAGTGAATTTTCAACAACATTTAAAATTAGTTACATTAGTTTACATTTTTATTATCTACTTTAGTGATCATCGATATCACAAAAAATTAATCAATTAATTAATAAAAAAAAACTCAATAAAGAGAAAAATCTTAACTAGTATAATTAGAGAAGGTAGGACATCCTATGTTTGCCGATGTCATGCACGTTTAATCAGGAGAAAACAAATCGATTTTCGCTTCTTTTTTTCTTTTTTTTTATTTGATTTTTTTCCATGATAAAAAAAAATGACCATCATCGTACTATATAAACAAAAATATACAAAATCAACGTGAGTGCAAGAAGATGAAACAAATGGCAGTTATCATTCGTCAAATATTTATATTTTTTCTTATTGTGCTTTTTTAGAAAGAGAAAAAAAATGTTTGGTTGAAAAAAAGGTGTCACGCCTGAACGAATGCCGTTTGTTCATTTTTTTTCTCTTTTTGTTAGCAATTGGAGCATTAAAAATACACAATAATATAGTATAAAAATCAAACTATCGTTTAAGGACATTATGTCTGTTGCTTTGTTTTCGATATACGTTGTTTGTGTATCGTTTTTCAATATGAACATTTTAGAATTGTTTATAAAATTAACTTCTTAAGAATTTATAATCCGAGTCATTTCCTTGTAAAATATATAATTATAATTAAAATAATGTTAATTATGATTTACGCCTACGCTATGCTATACACTTAATTTTTGTGAGTTTTTTTTTCTAATAAAAAATCAAATACGTTTTCAGAGAATTTATTCTTATTTACATTGTACATCTTAGTATCTGTTAATCTAAGGATTTGTCTAAGAAAACTTTACATACAACATCAAACTATAGAAAAGAGATTATAAAGGTTAAAAGCAGAATTATTCTCTTCTATTGAATTAGTAAATGTGTACTTAAGAACTAGAATATTTAGACCTATTGATCGATGAAAAATGTCTATCATTCAGTTGGAAATTCGTTTCCAAGCAAAAAAATGGTCCCTATTATTACAAAAATACTTTTCTTTTTCAAAATTTAGAATCACTTACATTAACATTATTTGGGTTAAAATACTAAGTAATAAATGTTATTATCTTAATTGACGATACTAATGGATAACGATAATTTTGTACTTGAAAAAATACCGGAAAAAAGTAGTAATACTTATGTATTAACACCAAAAATTCGTCCAAGAATTAAAATTCAACCACATGATACCGATGGTGTAGTATTAACAGCAAATGGTTTGTTAACAAATGGAAATAAATCTCAATCAGATAATGATACTGATCCTGATGGAAAAACCGAAAGAGATTCAACTAAAAAAAGTGTTCCCGAACGTCCATCAACGATAAGTAATAATAGTAATCCCGAACGTCCATCAACGATGAGTAATAATAGTAATAAACAAATACTAAGTAACAAAAACAGTGTTGCTTCGACAAGTGTCACTCAACCACCACCAACAACATCGTTGAGAACGATAACTACACCAAATTTTACTAACGTTGAAATGACAGACGTACATGATACAGACGAAGAGTACGACGAAGATAGAGACCATATGGATCCTACAATGGGAGATGATCATTATCATGATGGTGATGAACTTGAAGTACACCAGTTAAGTGTAGGAGATATTGATGCATATTTAGATATTTATTTTGAAACATTAGATAATCGTTTAAAACATTTAATTGGTGACGAACAACAATTAACTGAATTTCGAACTGCCACTAAAGAACGGATAAGTAAGTAAATATACAGATAGACCTAACTTAAGGTAATAAAAATACCAAATCTGTAATTTTATAGATAAAATTGATTAAATACTAATTACGCTAAGAAGCCCGAATATTAAATTTTATTTTAGAGTCAGATCCGAATTCAAGAGAATATCAGACTGTTTTATTGGGCAAAATTGGTGGTGAAGTGTTGGCCGCCGTTACAATGCTATTCAATGGTGATCAAACAACCATAGCTCGAACACAGTTGAAGAATCAACAGCAAAGAGGTTGTTTCTCGTCTATACGTAATTGGATGGTAAATAAAGCAAATTATACTCCAATTTATACAGAAGAATGTTATATTGAAATGATCGGTGTTAAAGCAAATTATCGTCGCCAAGGTATTGGTGCGGCTATGTTAGAATGTGTTGAGCATTTCGCGAGAAAGGCTGGTGCTCGATGGTTAACAATTCATATTCAGGGACGTCTACGAGACTATTTTGAGCGTTACGGTTTTCAAGTTGCTCATACAGATTATTCACCATTATGGAAATGGTTTGTGGAACGTGAATCATCAGAAAAACTGACTAAACAAATAGCAGTTGAAGAAGAAGACGAAGGAGGAACTGCAGGACAAGACTCATTGTATATCAATGAATCTATGGAATAATTGTGTATATATCCGGAACATGTCTAGATCTATTGCTATTCGATAGCAAATATTTTTTGTACACATCTTTCAATAGTTATTTCACAGTTTAATCTATTCTAATTATATTCTTATCTAATCTCTGTATCCCTATTTCAACTATTCCTGTAGCATTAGAACAGCTGAATTAAGCCATTACAATTTATGAATACAGAAGCAGGTCTTCGCCTACAACATATTAGATCATCGATGAATTGGCACAGACTTAACGATAAATACAGAATCCTTTGTCCTTCATTCGTTCGTTTAATTTTCTAACTCAAATTCCAATTGCATTTGTTTGTACAAATCATACTTAATTAAAGATATTGTTCTTCAAACGCCATTAATGTGATTCAAGCAATCCTTTATTCATCAATAAATGAATATCCCAAACTATTCTACAGATATAGTTCTTATACTACAAAGAATAATCAATCTTATTTTGGTTTCCGTAATGGCACGCTAATGTCACCTTTTTTTAATGCCTCTCTATATCGTTTTACTGGCTCCGTCAGCTCATGAACCATCAGCCTTTTTAAGCATTGTTACATCTATTCAAGAAATTTGATTATCTTCTGCTGTAAGCATTTGAACAAAAGAAGTCCGATTAAACTTTATTATACTGTTTAATTTATCACATACACTTACCGATGTTTTACCGACGCTCATCGTCTCATGACCTCCTGAATGTTTTTCCGTTCAACAATGAATAAAAATATGACTGATATGATGTGGGATCTAACTGAACAAGAAAAAAACGTTATTCTTAATATAAAGGGACGATCAGAGATAATGGTTTTTGACGAAATAACTTAACGACGTTCGCGGATTAACTCAATCTTTATTACCTTCATTCATAGAAATAATTACAATTAACATTCTTTTATGAGAATTAATCAATAAATACGTCAAATGTATCATGTTTGCATTTTCTAATTTGTCTCAATGTTGGCTCTCCTTTTCCACTAGCAAGAATTAAGTAATCATTATGGTAAAAATGAATCAAAACTGGATTATCAGTGGTGCAGATAGCTCATAACAAAGATATCGAAATGACTTCTGCCTAAGCTTTTTCTATTTCAGTTCAGCTGTTTACCACGAACTAATGTTTACGAATATATTTCAAAGATTCTACAGTACACATATATAATATGATAATCTCGATTATATACATAAATAAACAAGAAATATGTAAATAAAATCAAAGCTGTTTTGAAATAATATATCCTGCCAATCCTTATCAGTAACTAACAAACGAACGCACGTTTTTTTAAATAAAATAAACGATCTTTGAGCCAATAATGCTGCCATCAACGATCAATGTATCAGTTTGAACTGGAATAGTCAGTCCTTAAAAATAACAAGCAAACTTCATATTTAGACTATTAATCGAAACGAACTTACTTTTAAACAATGTCGAATGTAATGAATTAATACATTATCGAACAGTGTTCGCGTTTGTTTGTATGTGCGTCACTTGAATTTTTAATGAAAATGTTTTAAAACTATTGTAGATAGAAAGGATCCTTCTGGTGTTTAAGAAATGTTTTGAGGAAGATTTGTCCATTGAACAGTGCTTTGTAAGAATTAGTCCGTTTTTGATTAACTTGTTTCTTTGAAAAATTGCGAAAAACTATAGCATAAGTTTCGACGTCAGATTTTGTGTCAAATCGATATTATTTCATTTCATTGTTGTCTAAAACAAAATAAGTTGTTGAAGTTTTCGAATGAAAAGTATTCATTTGTCTAATAATTCCTATTGTTAAGTCAGCCAAGGTATATTACTTAGCAGGTATTTTAAACAACAAAAAAAGCATTTCTTAAGTAGTTACTCAAATACATTCTTCTCTTGGTGTGCTATTTTTGTACTATCTGATGTCAAGAATCATTTTTTTTTCTATGTTATAAAAATATAAACTTTTATCTAACCAATAACAAAAAATCTCTTTAAATTTTAAGAGAAATAAAAACAAGTGGAAAGACTTTGTTTAAAACTGAATAGAAATACTAATGAACAAATAAATGATGGAAATTCATTGTGTTATATTAGAACATCACCAGTGGAAAAAAATTTCTTTTCAATCATACGTTAACAAAAATTAATTGAAACACAACGGTGAAATTGTAGTCCTCTACAAGAAACTAAGAAGAAACTAAATGTTAGAATAGTATTCAAAATTGTTTCGTCTTACCGCAGATAGTACAACTTTGAAAATATTCATGAACATGCGTAAATAACATTGGAATAGATGATATGTAAATTATTCAGATATTTTTCGAAAACAAAATATGCCACTATTGCTTCAACAACGAATTCACAAAACAAAAAATCGATGGTTTTAAAATAATTAAATAATTGAATTTCCACACATTTTAAATCTCTCTATATCGTCTAAGTCGCTGCTCGTTTTGGCTTTTGAAGATGAAGAAATTACTGTTGATATGGTCATTGTCATTTGATCACCACTATTATTCTCATTTGATTTTTCATTTTTCAAGAAAGTTTGCGTTGGTATACAACATTGATCAGTTAATAAACAACCATAATTGTCTGGAGCATCGCGAAATGACGTTTCATTTAGATTTTCGTTCGTTGTTGATAATAAATTTATGTCATTTTTATTACTATTATTGTTAAAGTCACCGATAAACGGATTACTATTGCGTGTTTCTAAATCTGATGATACACTTAAACTACGCACATGTAGTTTATCTTTTTCTTCATAGATATCATCATGATGTAGTGTAGATGTAGCTTGCACTGCAGCTGTTATTATATTTGAATTATCTTTTCCATCTTTTGTCGTTGGAACAGTTACAGATGTTGTCGAATCTTTCTTGTTATCAATAACATATTTAGTTGATATACCCAACAAAATAATGCCAACAGCAACTTTCGTCATGCACAAACTAAAATAGAGCATAAACGTATACAGTAAAATTCTTAATGTAACCGACAAAATTGGGAAGTGAATGCTAAGTGTTTTCTGATCACTGTCTGTTAGAAATATACGGAGATAGACGAGAAAAACTTTTTATTGACAGAATCTGGATGAGTTCTAAACTGACGGGATGGTGTGGGCAACGAGAAATGTGCTTTCAGTGAAGCGTTGTCCTTCATACTCGTATAACTGTATTTTTTTATCCATGAGAGTAACAGGTCATTTAAGAAAAACAACGAATTAGAAACAAGTACCATAAGAATGCCAATAACACATTGCATATGGATAAAGATGTTTTTATACTAATTGTTTGAAACAGTACTCCAAATAGTAAACAGGCAAATGGTAATGGTATAAAGCCCATTCGTCGACTTAATAGATCAGTGTAATCCGAAAATGACTAAAAAGTTAATGTTTCAAATTGTACTATTTTCTCGATTATCGATGTGATACATACAATATCTTGTTTTGACTTAATCATGTCGTGAGCAAGACTAATTGTATATTCTCGGTAAACATCAGAGGATAATTCGTTAAATTTTAAAATAAATCCATGTTTTACCCAGTCAACAAAAAATTCGACAACAAATACAACCACAGTAAAATCAATGAGTGGCCAAAATTGATCTAAATTAATAAAAAACAAAAGTAATTTAAACATGTCAAGATAAAGGACGGGGACCATTAAGCAAAGTCGGTTCCCAGTATTTTTGCATTACTTTTAATCGAAGTTTGGAGGGAAAACCTTTGTGCGCATTTCTCGGTATAGTCGAGCCTTAGAAATGTCCTAGAACATATTTCATTGTGATTTTTGTGAATGCGTTAACGTTTCTGAAAAAATGATTTTTAAAAACTAAACTGGAGATAGAATAAGCTTGGTACAGAAAA